CTTCAGAAACTAATGTCTATGGTGAAAAGTGGGCCCCCAATAAAATATTCAAGAGGAGATTGAAATGTGATCACTGTTTCAGTGCAAAATGATATACTATAACTGCAGCATGTGTTTTACTTCACTGACAAATTATGTTTTGAGAATGCTATCATTGTACATATACACTCATAGGGGGAAGAGAATGTGCACAAATAATTATAGAAAACGGAACATATATATGGCGAAGCTTAACAAACTTTGTGAAGACTAGTGACGGTTGACAGTTATATACTAAGCTGATAGAAAATGAGTTTTTGTGCAGCCATTTGCCTCACCCTGGCTACAGGGTGAGTGAGAATTCTTTTCTTCAAAAGGTGGATTCCTCTCTAGCTTTAGGCAACTGATCACTACTTCTTTTTATAACTTAAAAAGTTATTTGAGGTGTGTGTGGCGGCTGCATTTTATTGTAGCTGTTTCTCTCTAAGTAATGATGCATGCTATATTAGGGTGTTTTGTTTAAGATACCGTGATTCATTTTAATTTTGTTTCATGAGCTGTCTTGAAGGCCCCACTGAGATTACAAAGTAAGATATAAATGTTGAAAAAAATGAATTCATAAATAGGTTATTGTTCATTGACATGGCAACTGAAAGCAATGAACTGCTAATCACTCCCACTGTGCAAACTTCAAATTCTGGATGTGAAACTTTCTCTGAATCCAGTTTCTAGTTTTACATCAGCTCAGGTCTCATGAACCTCTCAGAAGGTCACAGGTCCATTTTGCCTAGATTTTGCTTAGCAAGAGGAGTTTGTTTTAAAATAATGGCCTGTGGCAGTCCTCCAGCAGAATCAGAATCAAATGTTTGGGAACCACTCCAAGATGGAGTTCCCGGGAGAGTGCCTTCAATTCACTCCTCATAACATCAGCCCTATTCTGAACGTAAATATGATCAAAGTGCAGAAGGCCCAATCAATATTGTAAATTCATTTTAGACAAATATATTTAACAATTAAAATAAATTCACTGCTTTGTAATAATTTTAGGTTGCTTTCTGAAGCACGTTACATACCATGCGTGCTGGATTGTGCAACTGCCAAGGGCTGACTCTGCTCTCAGAGTCTGGAGTAACAAAATCTGGTTCAAGGTCATGCATTTATAATGGTTCTGGGGACATGTGCTTTCTCCCTGTGCAGTACCAAATATAGTTGTGGCAACCCACCAAATAATAATCATCTTCACCGTCCTCAAGACCGCTGATGTTTTGCCATGTCACTATGTAATCCTTCGAGAAAAACCTCAAGTAAGACCTGTTGTATCAAGCATGCAATTCCTGAGAAGATCAGTTGCACAATCCAAGGATTTCTGTTTAAGCACATAAGTAGGGAAATTATCATTACCTGGAACTGTTAAAAAAGAGTCATGATGTGGAAGAAATTAGGCATGCTGCTCAATAGTAACAGAAGCCTGCATGAGCTCCTATTTTAGACAAACTTTATGTCATTGTGATCCAGAAACGCGTAATGCAATCCTGGGAATCTTAAATTTCCATATAAAGTTGGAACAATGCACATATCCCACAGAAGTCAGTGGTTCTGATACATCTGAGAAGGTATGTGTAGCATTGCACTGTAAGAAAACAAAAGTAGCCTTCTTGCCCTCATGGTCATAGAGGTAGTTTGAAAAAGTGAAAATCCAGAAGGGTGAGAAACAAACAAACAAAATCTCATTTTCAACTGTTGGCTCATTAAGGCTGCAATCCTATACTTCAGGGGTATAGGATATACTTCCTATACCACCCCTGTAACTGAGGCCCTCCAGTCCTCTCTATCTGACCACTAGGACTCTCTTGAGATCATTCAACTTCACCAGCCTTGCCTCATATCTTCTATATTTTTGCATGGCCGGAATGTGCCATTGAAATCTGATCATGTCTCTTGGTTGCCTGAATGGAGGATACAGAGGGCTGTGTAGGAACTGTAGAAAGATAAATGTTATATTCATGGCTCCACCCACTTTGGCCTCTGAATCCACTCGTCACAGGGCTGCCCAGAAGCTATGGCTGAAAAAGGTTCCCTATCCCAGCTGTACCCAATGTGTTCAAAGGAAATTGCATGTTTCTGTTGCCAAGGATGCTTGAACTGTCATGGGGCCCCCTTCCACATTCAGCAACAAGGTCGGGTAACCACTGTTACCTTTTTCAGTTGGGGTGTTCCACTACCGATCGCCACACCTTTACAACATCTGTGCTACTGACTCTCAAACTTTGGGGTTGTTGAAAGATATACAGGGTAAGTCTTTTAAAAGAGGCCCCATGGAACATGTGTATTCTGTATCCGTGGGGCCTCTTTTAAAGGACTCACCCTGTACAACAACAAACGATCAATTTGACTCAAATCAATGTGACTCAAATTGGGTCTACTAGACTAGACCCAATTGTTTTAAGCAATGTGGACTAAAGTTGCTTTTGGGATCCCTCTGGGATTAGGGGCCTTGAAGTTTAAGCGTCATTAGTTTCATAGTAGATGAGTCGCTGTTTGGGAGTGAGCTCCATGGAGCACAATAAGGCTTACTTCTAATAAGCAGGTATAAGATTACTAAGGCACTCACCAATTGCTTGCTCAAGCATAAGCCCTATTGCATTCAGATGACTTACTCTTAAGTAAATGTGCATAGGATTGGACTGCACAGTCGGAATAAACAAGATTAGAAGCAGCCTGTTAGTCTTGTAGAATGAAGAGGTGGCAAAAGCACAGCATGCAGGACAGATTGATAAAGAACCTAGCTGCCAATTTTCTCAGTGGACTCAAATATCAGTGTTCTTAATCTCTCTGTCTCTCTCTTCTCCCCCTCTTCCCTGTTTTTCCTGGAGTAAATACCCAATTACACATCTACTCAATAAGTGATGTTGTTTATCTGGAAATTTCCATTCAGGTTTCTTGAGTGCAGTGAACCAGCTCTCTCCACATCTAGGAATCCTGTTGTCCCCTTCCTCTGGAATAAACTTTTTGGCTGAATTTCCTTTGAGGAAATGTCTGAATGTGTTGGGAGATTTCAAATTTAGCTTCTTAATAAACATGGTTTGCATTTGTTACCTTGACTGCCATTTCATTCTGTTGTGCAGTACATAGTATGACGGGGGAGAAATTTGATTCAGTTCACATGTAAAGCCAGCTGTACCAAATTTGCACTTGTTGAAATAATATGACAACCAAAACACAGCTGTCCTTTGAAAGTCACACTTTTCTGAATTTTGCAACACAGTTCTCCAATTAATGAATATTTCAAAAAAATGAATAAATTAGGTAAAGGTGTGCATAAAAATGAACTTATTAGTGAAAAATACATTCAAAGTACATTGTATTAGGAGAATTGCAAAGATGTGTACATTAGTTAAAGCTGCATACAAAAATGGGTTCATTAGGAGAAATTTGCACTAAAATACTGAATAATTTCCATGGCAATCTGCAAGTTGCTGCAGAAATGCAAACCTTTTTGAGGATTTTTTTTTTACAATCAAGTAGTACATAAATTTTATGAAATAAAAAAATTTGTGAAAAACTGTATTTAAGATTCAAAAAATGATAAAATGGACAGCAGCTGTTTCACATGCAGGAAATGATCAAAGAGTGTACATGCAAGCATGTCTGAATGCACAAGAACATACAGAGAAACCATTTTGACTCAGCTGTATTTGCACGACACTTGTACTCCCAAGAACTGGGGAGAGTAGAGTGTTTTGTAAGAAAAGTTTTGATAGATTCACCTTAGGCAGAAAATGTGCACATGATATTATTAATCCAAAATTTCAAGTCAGATGCACACCCAGTTCATAGGCTTGGCAAAAAAAAATCCCCGTATTTGTTGATCTGAATATTGGCTTCCGCAGATCATAAGCTGCAGTTATGATGATAATTTTTTTCCTCTAAAATGAGGGCTAAAAACACTTAACTGAATGAAATCTGAGTTTTCCATTATTATATCAAGATTCCTTATTAACTCATTTCCTTCTGTTTCATTTTCCTGCTTGCCTGCAGGTTTTAAATATGAGAGACTTGCCATCTAAGGAATTTCCCAGTCTAAGAACCTATAGGCCCAAAGGAGAAGGCTTCTCTCTTCTCATTGATGCAGCTGCCATTACGTAATTTATAATACACTAATTAGTTTGGAATAAAGATTATGTGGGAGGTCTTTTTTCATAGCTTGTCAACACTATAAAACAGCTATCGTCCCCTTTATTTAATAGTGCCTAAATTTATCCCCCCCCCCCCGGATTTTGAGACATCACTACATAATTCCAATAGTCCAAAGTAGGGGCTACCAATATCACACCGACAGGCACCAATGTATCCACCAGTATCTGCTATGCCACCCACAAAATGTGTCAGTAAATATCCCCTCAAAGTCCACAGTGCATGCAAGACTGGTCTTCCTGTGTTTGCACTGGCTCAGCTAGTCTCACGCTGAAATGTGCCCTCGTTTCCTTGCATGCCAGGATCAAACATCCATTCTTCCTCCTGTTCTGAGCAAGAAGAACTTCTCTCTGTAAGTGAGCAGGATGGTGGCTGATACAAGGGCCTTTCCCCCATTGGTTGCAGGAGGGAGTGATGTGGGGCCTGCACCATTTTATGGCCATGTCTCCTTTTCTCCTTTAGATGCGGAAGGCAGTTTGCATCAAGCCATGCCCCAACGGCAGTACTTTCTCACAATTGCCAAAGTGCCCACTGACCCAATGTCATCCCTGGTTGAAAGTGTCTTAGAAAATATCCACCATTTTCCCGCTTAGAAGGTTGATTAGAAAGTTTGTTTAACCAGCAGCGAGGGAGAAAGACATAAAGTAAGTATAGGGAGTAGGTAGGTTATTACAATTTTACATCTCTTTCATTGTGTTGTTAAACTACAGCTCTCCCTTTTCTTTTCTGATAATAATTCTGCCGTTTCAAACACCAATTTGCAAAGGGGTAGTTACAGGTAGGTAGCCGTCTTGGTCTGCCGTAGTCAAAACAAAATAAAAAAATTCCTTCCAGTAGCACCTTAGAGACCAACTAAGTTTTGATATTGGCATGAGCTTTCGTGTGCATGCACACTTCTTCAGATATCTGCATACCAATAACAAACTTAGTTGGTCTCTAAGGTGCTACTGGAAGGATTTTTTTTATTTTGCAAAGGGGTAGTGATGTTAGTCTGTTGCAGCAAAGCAACAAGACTTGAGGCACCTTAAAAGACTTAGCAAACTTGATTAAAGACTGACACCAAACTAGAATTCATCCTATATGCAATTTTGTGCTTTGCTCTCTTCTCACAATGGAATTTCAGCTACTATAAATGTTTGGCCCTCTGCAGGCGTTACCAAATGGGGAAGTTAGTTCCACCTGGGAGTGGCATTGTGGGGCAGCAGAGACTGAAGTGACTCCTGCAATGTGCTTCAGACCACTTATTCAGCACGAATACTTGCATGCTTAGCTATCATGAAGTATTACACAAGTAACCACAACAATGCTCTTTAAACGGACTCAGCTTTAAATGGATTTCTTTCTTTAAAGCAGATTAATGCAGAGATGAGATGGAAGGGGTTTATGAATAGACGTGCAAAATGCACATGGACTGGAAATTCACTGATTCATCCATCCCTACTTGGAAGGAGGGGGAAGCTCTTGTAGGCACCTGCTTACACTGAATCAGGGCCTGAAAGCCAGGAAGGGGCGGAGTGTCCAGCTCTCCACCTGAGCTACAGCTCTGTTGGGGCTCTCTGCTAAGCATCTGTGGAGCTTATTTGCTGTCAGGTTTGTATGTGCTGAACCTCTCCAGAAGTGGGGAAACAGCTGGCAATCAAATACCAAGTAAAAACGGGCTCATTCTGGCATGCACAGAGCATAGGCAATTACTGTATTGAATATTTGGTTTGTCTGGAAACTGTTTGCATTTATTTTTAATTGTCCTGTTCTTAAATTTGGTTGTTTATGGCCTTGGGCATCCTATTAGTGGATGGAATGGGGGGGGGGAGAGGAATAATTTTAACGTAACAAAAAAAGGACTGTTTCTTTTCCAAATTAATAATCCTGCATATGTCTAGGAGCAAACCTTCTCACCCTACAATTCATTTCCTCCCTGAAACATCTTTGCTGCATCCTCTACTGAAACCTAAAATCGTGTTTCTGCCCTTACTGTTCGGACTGTTTTAAAGTGACTGGTTACAATATTTTAAAGTAAACGAGATCTTTAGAGAAGACAAAAAATAAATAAATAGAATTTAGCTATACAATATCTAGATTTCAAAGAGAAATTGTAGAGGACAATACCAAACTATTGAAGAAAAAATATAGTTTTTTGCTAGAATGGGAAACAAAAGATGAAGAAGTCAAATATGTAATGATTAAGCAGGCAAGAGATCTGGGACATAATATTCAAATGAGTGACTGGGAAAAACTTTGGAAGATGGATTTGAAATTTACTGCATGTACAGTACAGTAAATGCATGTACTGCATGAAAGAGAACTATATGGAAATGGTGTACCGTTGGTGCATAACACCAGTAAAACTGGCAAAAATGTATAAAACAAGTTCTAATAAGTGTTGGAAATGTAAAGAAAAAGAAGGTACTCTTTATCATATGTGGTGGGAGTGCAAAAATTCATGGGACATATATAGTGAACTGAAGAAAATTTTTTTAATGACCTTCATTAAAAAAAAACTTGAAGCATTTCTACTAGGAACAACAGGAAGCCAAATCCCGAAGGAAAAGAAGAAACTGTTTATGTATGCAATAGCAGCAGCCTGGACCCTACTACCTCAAAGGTGGAAGGAAGACAAGATACCAACAACAGAAGAAGGGCAACTGAAAATGACGGACTATGCAGCAATGGCAAAACTTACGGAAAAGAAACAATGACATTGATAAATTTAAAAAAGAATGGGAGGCATTTATTGAATATGTACAAAAATATTGTAAACAAGTAGAAACACTAGCAGGCTTTGACTAAACATTTGCAAGTAGTTAAACTGAGATAAAATTTATGGAAGGAAATTGGAATTGGAATAGCAAAATCTGATGGCATGCAATTAGGATAAAACAATAAGGATAAGAAAAAGAGGTTTAAGTAAATTATGCAGAAAAGGTATATATTCAATGAACCAGGAAAGGAAATGGAGGGAAGTCAGGAGGTTAAAGAGAACCTCTAAAAAGATCTTTCTCTCTCTCTCTCTTTCTCTTTCTTCTCTTCTTTCTCTTTCTTTGGTTCTCTTTACTTTTATTTCACTTTTTATTTTTTATGTTGGCTATTTTGTATCTTACTTGATGGGAAATAATTGTTGACGTTGAAATTGTAAAACCAATAAAATTTATTTACAAAAAAATAAAGTGACCTTACGTTTCCCAATCTCAGTCATCATATTTCCTTATGGCATGGCATGTAGGCATAAGAATAAATATACACAGTATAACTATATTGTACTGAAATGAGTACCCATGTCCAGAATCATAAGAAAGCAGGACTGGAGTAACATCTGGTACCAGAGGAAAGACTATTAGCAATAGTAGTAATGTTGCTTAATTAATTTGTATACCACTTACTTACCAAAATGGTCTCTAAGTGTTTTACAAGTATAAAACTGATTATAAAGCTTATAGCTGCACATAATTAAAATACACAATAAAACAATTCCATCAACATACTAAATGTCAGGGGCTGGAAGGTTGCTGAGGAGTGTGCCCTTGGGAGAAGGGGAACTGGAATTTGACTTGGGAGAGAGGGGCAGTGATTTGTGGGGATGTGTACCAACCAAGTGGCAAGAGTCAGAGGCAGGGGAAGCTTCGGAGCTGAAGGGTGGAGCACAGGATGAGTCGGAAGAAGAGGAGGAAGAGGCAGGTCAGGCGAGCAAGTAAAGGGTTGGGTGCTTCTCTGCCCTCTCCTGTACCACTGTCTACCAGAACCAGGAGAGAATTGAAATGATAAGAGCAGAACCCTCAGGTGCAGTGGATGACAGAATCTGGTCGCTAGCCTTGAAGTTCAATTCAACTGCCATTTCACTGGGCTTCCATACATGAAATTGGGAAAGTGCCATGACATCCTTCACCTCAGGATTGATCCAACCCTGGCAGCGGAAGCTGCATAATACTGTCACAAATGAGATTTCTCTCATCTCAGTTAAGAGCTCCAGACGTGACCACATTGGAAGTTCTGTAAAAGGATTGTTGCTGTGCATGCATGTGCTTTTAAGAAGGATTTTGTATTGTACCCAGAGAGATTTTCATCTGAGCTCAGAAAGAAGTTAAATTAATATAAACTTGCAAAGACGGCAAAGAAACCAGGCGCTTGTGGTTGAAAAGGTCAAGTGAAATGTATGGCAGAGATCCCAGTACACATAAATTGTAGTGTGTGTGTGTGTGTCTATACAAATGTAATTAGGGCAAAGCTCCTTTTCAAGTTGAGTCTGAACCACTTGTGAATAGTATGACCTCAGTCTATGTCAGAACATTAGTATAAAATTATTCATTAATAAATCACTCAGCAAATAAATCTGCTGCCTCCCTGGTACCCTGATCCTTAATAGCGTTGCTGCCTTTTATATTCTTGTGGCAACTGAATGCTAAGCTGATTGCTTGACAAGTTACCTAGCAAAGAGCAGAACCACCCAGGGAATGAGACTGCGAGGAATGGAAAGTCCCAGAGAAACAAGAAAACAAGAGGAGGATGGAGAATGTAGGTGAAGGAGGATGACTTGAAGAGCACTGGGAGGATTGAGGTAGGCCTGCTCAGTCAAAATGGACCAAGGTACAGACTTGAAAATGCTGTGATCCCTGCCTATGCATTTTGTGATTCAAGGATCCGCCACCCGCTTGGGGATAAGAAAGACACATGGACACAGTATATTAGGTTAATGGGCTAAAAAAGGCCACAACTTTATTGATTACAGCATGTGAGAGGTATTGGCTTAGGCACTGGATAAAACAACAGAGCGTGACTCCACCCCCTCAGGGAGGGGTGAGTCTAACAAGGGTTAACCACCAGTGCAAAATACAACTGAAAGCTCTCCCTGATGTCACCAGGAGTCGTGCCATGGCCCTAGCCACCAGCAAGGGCGTCGGACAGGATCCACGACCGCCAGATTCATTTACTGGAATACCCATAAAGTGGAGGGGTAGGCGATGGCCACACCCTGCCCTCCAATACACAAACATATTCCAATGCCTAACCACCAATACCTAAAAGTTGTGACGATTTGCTACGAGGTAGGCGAAAAACCAAGTTGCCGGTGCCAATTTGCCAGTTGGATAAAAATTCCTACCAGGCCCTTTGGACAACCAAGGCAACCAACCACAGGTCCATAGCAATGTCAAGAACCAAGCAGTGAACTAAAGGGAGGGTGGGTGGGTGATCCGATGAAAACCAGCAGTGGAATGAAAGGGAAGTGCTGCTGCGGCCACGTTTGAGCGGCAAAACCCCGCCCCCAAGCCTCCACCTGGTTGGTTGGCTACCTGGGGGCATGGTGCGGCAGCCAGGCCAGCTGGGCAGGGGGCTGGAATGCCCCCTGCCAACGCGGGAAACGGCTCCTGCTCACAACTCCTCCCCTCTGTAAGGAGGAGAGGCTTTCTAAAATGTGGGAGAAAATGTAGGTGGAAAGTGGGCAAATGAAGGTGTAGGCTCAAACAGTGGTCGCTTCCACACCATAAAGCACACAACTTGCCCTGAAGAATCTTGGGAACTATTGTTAACCCCTCATAGAGCTACAGTTCCCAGCCCCCTTAACCAGCTACAGTTCCCAAGATATTTTGGCACAAACCAAGTGCTTTAAATGTGCCATGATTGGGTGGTGCAAGTGTGACCTACGGAGATCTTTGTCATTTCTGTTCCAGCTATTAAGCTGAAGTAGAAAAGCAGGTGGAGAGAGGAAGGTTCAAGCCTCCCAGCATTTTCCAGCTCTGAATGCTGCTTCAGCAATAAACAAACAGGAAAACAAAAACAGAAATAGATGCTGGCCTGCAGGGTGCAGAACACCAAAAGAGCAAATTGCTTTCACTTTGCAAAACCAGAATGGCCCAGGCCAAAAAGACACCTTTGATCCCTTGTATAGAATCAAAATTCAACAGTGCCTGAAGTCATGCTTGAAGACTCTAATCTAGTTTTCATACAAAGTGATATATCAAACC